AAATTATTTATAATTATTAATATTAATAAGAGATGGCGCCTAACGCTTACCTCTAGTACCAAATTGATTACGTAATTTATTTAATAATTAGCATAAAACTAGCCCGATAGATTTTCGGCAGTCTGTTGGTTGTAGCTATATTATATATCGGTTTGGAGATGTTTGTATATAGAAAAGACACTATTAAACTGAAGCATTCTCATATCAAACTTCCATAAAAATCAAAAACAAACAAACAAAATATGGTATTGCAAAAGGTAGAATTACTGTTTTAAATAAAATTAGCACAGCAATCTAAAGGTAGAATGGAATGGAATAGTATGAAACTCAGTAAAGAACAAAAATTTAAATACTATAAAATGTTTATGAATTTATGAGAAAAATATAACCAAAATTTATATCTAGCAACAAAAGAAGTTATTTATCTACATCAGGGTTTAGCAAAACTCAGTATTTTAAGACTCCAAATTTGTGTGTTTAAATACTATAAACATTGGTTCATGCTTACTGAATTTATCTACAATATATAGATTTTTTGCCGTTTGAATGTATTTTTAACTAAATAAAGTATTTTTGTCTAGTTCAATTACTTTTTATTTGATTATACATATATATCAATACTTCATACATTTAGCAAAAACAATTAACTAATTAAAATTCATATTTTTTAGCAAATAATTCTTTTAATTACAATTATCAAATTGTTTATAATAACACTTTTTCGTGACATTTCAAATGAGCACTAAATGAACCACTACATTGTATTATATGAAACAAGATATTTTAAACAGAAATGAATCTGTTACCGCTAAAGCTCGAAACTTGTTAATCTGCAGATTACCTAGCTAATCTGCAGATTAACTAGCGTGATCTGTTAAAGTTGTGAAAATTGTTCCATTTCTCAAATTACCTAGATAATATGCAGAGTATCTAGGTAATCCACACATTACCTACTAGGCACTCGGTAAAGTGAAAATAAGATCTTTACCACAAATAGGTGTGCTTGTCGCAGAAACCAATTGCTATGAAATTCAAAGTGTCACCAATCTTTAGACTGCACTAATAAGTAAGCACAATTGGATAATGTTACCTATGGTGGGTAAAATGGTGGCTCGTCTCTGATTCCAGCAAAGAGAAGAAAGGAAACAGGAAACAGTGGGGAAGCACGTTCAAACCTAACCTAACCTATTCTAATAATTTGGTTGGTAATAATTATGGTAATTTATTAAAATAGATTAGGTTAGGACAGAACGTGCGTCACCACTGTTTCCTTTCTTCTCTTTGCTGGAATCAGAGACGAGCCGCCATTTTACTCACCATAGGTAACATTAACTGCACAATTATATCATGCGATCACCAGAAAAAGTATGATAACTTTATTATTTTTCGTCTCCGGTCCAAAAGTAGGGTATCGTTGAAGTCGTCTCGGTCCCCTCAGTTCAGATAGATACTCAAAGTCCCGAAATTCCATAGGTGGTTATCTATATAATAATTTCCCTAATTGTATTAATATTTTAAATCGTTTGATTTTTTGTATGTTTTTTTAATTGGTTGATGATTGATTCTATCAACTAATTTGTCGATTGTTTGATTGTATTAACTTGATTCTTTAGATATCGAAAATTAAATAAAGAACATTATGTTAATTTAAGTGTACAGAAACGTTGCTGTTGTTTCAGCAAAGATTTTATTTTCACTTTACCGAGTTCCTAGTAGGTAATTTGCAGATTACCTAGATAATCTGCACATTACCTAGGTAATTTGAGAAATAGAACAATTTTAGCAACTTTAACGGATTACCCTAGTTAATCTGCAGATTAGCTAGGTAATTTGAGAAATAGAACAATTTTAGCAACTTTAACGGATCAGGCTAGTTAATCTGCAGATTAGCTAGGTAATCTGCAGATTAACAAGTTTCCAAGCTTTAACGGTAACAAATCAACTAAATATTTAAAGACTTGCTAAAAATATGCATAATATTTCACTTTTTATTTATTTTAATGAAGTTTAATTTTTCTTATTCTTTTTACCCTGTTGCACTAAGAGTAATTTTTTCAGAGCCATTGTGTGTTCGACCAGGCCCGTAATGGGAATTGGTTGATGAGGAACAAAGCCCAACTTATCCAGATCAGACCTTCCAAGAAAAATTGCCTGTCCTGATCTCATTTGTGGTATCCAGAGCAATAAGCTGATGCCTTAACTACCTCAGCTGTTTGGCCGTCAAGCTTATGACTACTTGAAGAATTTCCAAACTTTTGATTTCTTTAGCATTTTTTACATCTATCTGCATTTTCTTTTAAATCTTTGAAAAAAGAGTACTCATATTTTGTAAACAATATTACCAATTTGGGAAAAATATTCAACTATATTCTGAATTTTATTAATGATTTGGACAATTTTCAACTTTCTGCACTGAAAAGTCTCAAACCGACTGTAATGTCAATATTGTAGATATCATCAGAAAACAAAGCTAGTTGTATTTACACAAACTTTCTAGTTTTGTTTTATCTTTACTACTATGCAAAGATAAAACAGAAGTAATGATTTATCTTTACTAAAAATGCTTCAATGATCAATGACTTACTGATAATGCTGCTAAAATGTACAAATTTTGGACTCATACTCATCAAGTTTTAGTTTGAGTATCGAGTGCAAGTAAAAACAAAAAGGCTCAATAAGTCCAAGTACTCAGAATTGAAAAACCCTAATCAGGAGTTGGTAAAATATGGTTTGAATGGCATGTCATTTCATTTAGTTACTATAATTTTACTGTATAAAACTGTAACACATTTTTCGATATAAATCTGAAATAAAGTTTATAAAGTTTTATCTTAATATTTAATTAGATTGTATTTTTTTCTGTTTATTATAATATTCTTGCAAATCTGTAACAACAGATTTATTAATCTGCAGTTTAGGTTGTACATAATTTAAAATAAACAAAACTTCTTTCTCTTTTTAATAAAAATAGCTTCATCTCTCTTTTTACAACAAAAAAAATACTTTTTTTTTTTGTAAAAAAGAGATAATTTAATTTTTATTTATTACTTTGAGTACTCACTACAAGATTTTATTTTTCTATACCACTAACATTTAAGCATTTATCACAGTGCAACATTAGTCTTTGGATACCTTTATCACAGTTGTCTGCCACTTGTTCTTTTAGCCAATTAGTGACATCATCTTTTCCTTCATTGCCTTCAAAATGACTGTCCCCCAAAAACAATCTTTCATTTTAAAAAACAAGTGCTGGGGCCAGATTAGAATTGTACGTTAGATGCTTGAAAATTTCTAATCAAACTTTTGACACAGAGATAACAGGCCTATGTTATCATGTAACAGCACAACACTCAATAACATGCCATAACACTTGTTTTGGATTGTCCATCAGAACCATTTCACACGGTACACTTTTGAATGAAATCAAATGATTGCTGGATGCAAATTGGGCTACTTTATCACTACTATTAATAGTTAAATACCGAGTAATTTGGTATTAGAAGTAGGCACTAGGCACCATCTCTTAATTTTAAAAAATATTTATTAAATAATTTAGAATATTCTGAAAAAAATTACTCAGTATTTAATTATTAATAATAGCAGTAAAGTAACCTGATTTAAATCTGGCTATTGTTTGGTTTCATTATAAAATATTGGGCTTTGAGATGTTTGTATAGGTACAGTACATTTTTGAATTTATTGTCATCCTCTTTGGCATAAATTGATGAACAGGAAGCCTAAATGTTCTTTGCTTTATGGACAACACTTGTAACCCTTCAAATACTCACTGATGCATAATGTTAATAGAATAATTCTTAAAATAGTTCCAGATAAAAGTTTATAGACTGATTTATGATGTGTGATCATATTAAATAATTAATGGAGCTAGTTTTTGAAAAACCTGTTATAATTTCTACTATTTATAATTTATTTTGTATCCTAGTACATTTTATATATTAACAGGACTTATTATACTGTTAAAATGGATGCAGATATTTAGTCTTACAGTTTAAAAATAATGTTCTTTATTAAGTTCACCTGAACACATACACTTCAAACATGTGTTTCGGACTTGTTCATCCCTCCTCAGCAGTTGATTGTACTGTAAAATATTTTATTATTGTTATTTATAGAAAGTGTTGTTTAAAGGCCTGCTGAGGAGGGACGAACAAGTCCGAAACACATGTTTGAAGTGTATGTGTTCAGGTGAACTTAATAAAGAACATTATTTTTAAACTGTAAGACTAAATATCTGCATCCATTTTAACAGTATAATAAGTCCTGTTAATATATAAAATGTACTAGTATACAAAATAAATTATAAATAGTGTTAAAAAAGGACAAAAAGGCGTAATAATCCGTTATAATTTCTGTTTATTTTCATCATTTTATAAGTAAAAACAACATTAAAGTCCAAAGTTTATATATATAATTTATAATGTCCATATATACTTATGAACATTAATGTATTATTATTGTGTAGCTAAATAAATCAGTTTTGGCCACTACAAATCCAAGTCTCAAATATTTATGAAATAGGAGAAAAAAGTTGTAATTACATATTCAAATAAAATGCCAATTTTAAAAATTATACCTATACTCTTCTTGACCAGCTGTATCAAGGATGTCAAGCAAACAAGTTTCTCCATCAATGACAACTTGTTTCCTATATGAATCCTCTAAAGAATATTAAAAATACCATTGAATATTTTTAAAACATATATTTGTATATAGTTACAAATTCTAATTCATTATACATACCTATTGTGGGATCATATTCATCTACAAAGCTGAAAATATTTCAATATATGAATAAAATATCAAACAATACAAATATTAGTTATTAATTAAATAATAAGTTTAAAATATAAATTACACACACACACACACAGTATATGCAAAAAAAAACATTCTATTGTATAGGAAGTTTAAATTTATATCCTTTTCCACTGTTTTTATGTTTAAAATAAACTTTAAAAGATGAAATAAATTCATTTTCAACAATATTTTAAATTAGACATCACAAATAATTAAACTGGAACAAATAAAACATTAAACACGTCATGTTAAAGTTTCATCTCTCTCTTTTTACATTACAGATATAGGAAGAACTGGAATTTTTTTCTTTAATGAAAGTTGATTTTAAAAATGATATGTTAATTGTTAGTTTTTAGCACACAACTAGGTGCACAAGTAGACACTAGGCTTTTTTTTACATCAGTCTTTATTCTGATATGTTAATAAGAAATGATGAATGATTACTTTATATATGAAGTATAAGCAATAAGAGTCAAATATATGAAATGCTGACATACATACATAATAGAATCCACTTATTATAATCATTTGAGGACTAGTTTACAGTTATATTGATAATAATTAGTGACTGACAATATTAAGTGGGATAAGTGAATAAAACTATTAGTGGAAAGTGGAGTTTTATTGACTGATATTAAAAATCTGGGTTAAAATAATAAAAAATTAATAATAATGATAACTATAATTAATAAATCTTTGTATAACAAAGGTTTATTAATTATAGTTATCATTATTATTAATTAATAGTAATTCATTTAGTATTGTTTGTCAGTTGTTTACTTCTTTTTTTTTTAAATAGTATTATCTTTAACAGCAGCCAGTGTGTAATCAAAGCAATAAATGTCAGCAATTTAAACCTCTACACTGTCAACATCTAATCAGTCTTAACCAGTGTTTTAAACATTACTGTTTAATAGGTTAAGACTAATAAGGATAACTGATAACAACAAATATCATCCACATGTCGAGTCCTAATAGCAGAAAAAAGAGTTATCATCATTAGGTAAATAGGTAATTTTTAAGCTATCACTAAAACTGTAAAATATACAAAGTTCTATAAGTGTATTTTAATTTATACGTTTAAGAATATCATAATCCCGGTATCATTAGACAGATATCAGTGATTATAATAAATGGATTCTGTTTTATTTCATTTTTTGTACAATCCCTATTGCTAATATATTAGTAAAAAATTTGTATGTTCATTTTAAAATCAATTAACTCTAACTTTCATTCAAAACAAGCAAAAATTTGATAAATAGTTCAACATTTTTTTCTTCAATTAATTATGTTGAGAAATTTTACATATCATCAGACTGAATCTGTTTATCATTAACCCCGTTGATGATAGTTGTGACCTAAACCACTACCTTACTTTGAAGGATTCATTGACTAAAATATTTTATCTGAATGATTGTTGATGCATTTTGTCCATATAAAAACACTTATATCACTCAAAAATGCCTAACACACTGCTGTATGACCACTACTGTAGTAGTTTGTGAATCTCTTATCTAGCATGATGCAAAACATTCATTCCTTCTCATCCATTGTTATGACTCGATTTTTCATAACAAGTTCTGATAGATACAAAAATGAGAATCACTCACACACATTAGTCAATGATAAAATTTAAAAACTTGCATAGAAGTACAGCAACAAATCTAATTCACTCCAATAAAAACAAATAAAATGACATCTGATAATATTTCTTTAATAATATTAAACAGCAGTCTTTTCTAACTAAGTTAGATTGTATTCAGTCAACTCAAATTAATACAAATCACTAGGGAAACAGTATTTAGTTCACTTTATCAAAAGTTCATATTAATGAATTTCAGTGTCTAGGCCAAATTCATATAATTTAGAATATTAAGGCTTAACAGTAGGGTTACAATACATCTGTATTTAGTATGGACAGTCCGTATTTTAAAGACTCTGTCCATGTCCCATACCATACTTAGAAGAAAATAACCAAAATGTCTATACTTTTCAACTGATCACACAGTTAATAACACAGGTCTGCAAAAAAATTTTTTCAGCTGCATGGGATATTTTTGCTGAATTATATGTTTTAAAGATCATAGATTCTAAAAATGACTTTCATAACATCCCATCATTTGCAAAATAAAAACAAATTTTTAATAAAAACTCTTATTTATTACAATGAACTATAATGAACTATATTATATTTTCTTACAACTAATCAAAAAATTGTTTCTGATACTTATATACAATTTTAGGTCTACTCTGTTTTCTTATGACACCTTTTCTCCTTCTCTTTAATACTTCTCCGAACTTGTTTCTAATTTCCTTCTCTGGTTTCTCAATAAGCATCCAACAATAGTCAGCTAACATATTGACATCCCATTTTCCTTTGTAACATCTCTCGATATCATGGACATCCTGGTGAAATCTTTCACACTGTTCTTTACTGTAGCCTCCCAGGTTTTTGGGAAAATAGTCAATATGGGTGTGTAAGAAATAAACTTTTAAGCTCATCTTGCATCCTTGAGCTTCATACGCTGCCAGCATGCATTAGGCCTATACAATGGTTTTGTAGTCAGGGTATATTCCCCAAAAACGTATGCACTACATTCTTGAAAGAGTCCATGCTTCTTTTTCCTTTTCTCCTATTGTTTTCAAAAAGAGGGCATCAGATAAAGGGGATGTTGACTTTTCACTATGTATTTACCACAAACATAACAGAAGCTGTCGGGAAAAATTACACAACCTCTGCGAGCCATATTCAGAAATAAAAATACAAGCACAGTAGTGTTCGAATGCTGGATATAAACTAAGTGTGGTATTAGATGGCCAGAGAGATACTGAACTTATTTAGCTTGTTGAAACATGTTCTAATCCAACAGCAAATTGTTTATATTTATTCCTAGTATCCCAGATAACACGTCGAAACATGCTCAACCTCACCAGTAATATTACTCCCTAACAACTTTTAACCTGTTTCTATACAATCATGCAATCTTCCTCCTAATGCTAAAACTACTTAACTCACCTCCCCCTACCACAACTCCTTCAACCATTAACAATTTTATTTATTTATTGCCAAGTCCAGCTATAATTGTTAGAATTAATGTGAGAACTCTTTGTTTTAAGGCCATTTTTTAAATAAAAAAAAAAAAGAATACTAAATTTTAAGTTAACTAGGAATTTTATGCTAAATACAAACAACAATTTGAGTGTAATAAAAAGAAATTGACTAGATGGAATTTTTTTGGTATTTTTTTCATTTTTACCAAGTTGAAATCTATAAGAAAATGTATAAAAATCCTATGCAGTTTTTTACTTGCAGACCTGTGTAATTGAATCATAACCACTTAGATTTAAATTTGACAAAAGGTGCTTTGATTATTATTGTGTTTGTTGGCTAGGTGGCAACAGTGTATAAGCAAATGTAATGGCTCTGTTGCTTAGAGAACATGAGCACATTCATTATAATGATTTTCTGATTTGATAGTACTTGTTATCTAAGTGATAAAATAGTTTTCTTATATTTAAAACTGCATTCTGTGCCCAAAGTGTAAATTGAAACTTTATATTATATGCCTATATTTACTAGAATGAAAAATATGAATAAATTTCTTTATTTTGCCTTGCTATTTGAGTACCTTTAATGCTAATCTGTCTGTATTTTGCCTTTAACTACTAAGGTAATCCTACTTAACAGACAACAAAAATCTCTAAAATATAACACAGTATCTTGAATTAATTTACTAAATAAAGTTGAATAAAATTAAATTCATTAACAAAAACAAATTTTAAATAACTTTTCAAATCACACAAAATGATGATGAGACAATATTTGCCATTTAAGTGTGAAGTGATATATCAGAGTTGTTAAACCAAAAGCTAAAAGAAATTATAAATTCTTTTTTCTCTTGATTATTATTTTAAAAAGTAGAAAATATTTTTGGCACCAGAAGAGAGGGGAAAAAAGAAAACCAATTTCATACCTGGCATCTAGGTGATGCCAGATTCAGCTACTTTGCTTCAGCGCCATATAATTTGAAGAGGGAATCTGAGAATTTACATCAGCCCGAAATGCATATGTAGAAGAGAAAACTGAATAATAAATTGTGCATGGTTAAATGTGCATTGAATATTTTTTTTTGCTGTATGAAATACTATACCTGATATAAAGGATTACAAAATTAAAACTAATAAGAATACAGCTACCCTGTAATTAAGGACTTAGTTGTTTACTTCATAAACTAACTACCGTACTACCTTCTATTAATATCTACTTCATTATTATGTTATTAGTTTGTCCTTATATGATAATGCTATCCACTTCCTTATTTTTAAAATTATTAACTTTTACTTGTCTAAAATAAAGATGCCCCTCAGAATCCACTGCATCTTACATTTACAGTTGAAAACAACAATCAAATGACATTGCATATAGAACACATGATGCATTATACTCTAATAATAAATTTTTGGTTATACTGCTTAACAATTAACCTGTTCAAATGAGTTTTACTCATAATGATCATTCAATTTAATCTCCTTTTTTAAAAAAAATAAATTAAACATTTAAAATATTCTTCAAGATAACATTATAATGCAGCATTAAAAAGTTATTGTAAATACATGGAAATAGAGCTGTGAGAAATTAGCTATTTCAAAGCCTTTATAATTTTCCTTATTTTTCCACATAGCATTTATATTGTTTTTCTAACTTATTACATAACAAAACTTCATAAAATTAATTATTCAAAAATTTTTTCTTCCATTAAAAAATATCTTAAAAATTTGATTTCAAATTCATAGTATGTCTTAGAATCAAAATATACTAGTAGTGTTCTTGAAACTGAAATAATCTCATTAATTTCATTGAATGTTACTTAGATTCTTAGTTCTTTCCTTCTTTTTCTTCTCTAGATTAAACATTTTCAAAAAATTAATATGCTAATTTCCAGAAAAGTTTAATAATTTATGTTGACTATAA